CATGTTCTACACATAATATATTTCTTTACACTGTAGTTTAATTCCATTCAGCTTATCAATATATTTCTACTTATAACTGCTAATGTTCTTCTTGCTGCTGTAATATTGCAAATTTCCCCATTGAGGGACTAATAGAGGATTGTCTTATCTTATCTAATACAAGAAATAAAGCTCGATGAGACACTGGATATATTTTCTTCACTATAAAAAAAATTCTGTGTCAGTCAGTGAGAACATTTAGATTTGAGTGGATGTATTTTTATTGAAAGAGTTGTACCTGACAAACATTTTCTTCCCAATCTGTTTCTTGTACACGTTTTCCACTTCATACTGGTGCTTTCCTTCATGGACCTGGTGGACGATGAGCACACCTCCATTCACAGAAGAGTCCTGAGGATGAGAAGAAAGAAGACAAACTTCCCACAGTCAAATCTTTAACATCACAAATAACATCGTTTGTTGTTAGAGGTAGTTGGATTCTGTCACCCACAGTCTGATCCATGGTGTCGGATGTGTTCAGTGCTTGTGATGCCAAAGGTTGAAGCCAGCAGCAGTCATGGTGGCAGACTTTTAAAGCCGTCCTTGTTTCTGTGCTTCTGCATTGTATGAAGGGGAAGTATTGGATAAGGGGCCGCAGAGGGAACTGGAGTCAGAAGAGGAAGTGAATGAAGCCGAGGAAATTGTAGATAAAAAAGTCACACACCTTGTTAGAGGAACAAGAGAAGTGGGATTAATAAAGTTATTTTACAGCCTGACTAATGAACTGACGTTTTATTTATTTATTTAATTGTTTACCGTGTTACTTTGATTTCTATATAAAAATGTTATAAGACGGCAGTTTTTGTCTGGAATATTTTGGACAATCAAGAACCTTTGTCTTTGCCCCCTTCACTTCACTCCATCCATCCATCTATCCATCTATCTATCTATCTATTTATGTATCTATCTATCGCTCTATCATCTATCTAACTATCTTTCTCTCTCTCTCTCTCTCTCTCTCTCTCTCTATCTATTTATCTATCTATCCATCCATCCATCCATCCATCCATCCATCCATCCATCCATCCATCCATCCATCTATGAACAGACAGAAAAGGGAAATAACAACCACTGTCAGTTTTGAATTGCATCATCATGGAACTACTTGAAGAGAATGACTTCCTCTTTGACAGAGTGAGCAATATCCATTTTTACTGTTTACCTCTTTTTACTAATATTTATCCAATGACAAATTGAAGGGATGATTAACAGTTCCTCACAAACTGCCATGATCAGTTTAGTGCATTTTGTGGTCTCACTTTGTGTTTTTTTTTTGTGTCCTCTAAACTGCTGAGCTCCACTGTTATGCTGAGGGTGAGGTATTCCTGTACATGGACAAAATAGATTTTGAGCTTGAAGGCCTGACAAATATATAAAAAACTAAAAAACGAGTAAGTGGACATTGTGGTTAGAAGTTCTTTGTTAGGACAAATTAAAGGTGGTTCTCTTGTAAGTAAAGTAAAGTTTACAAGGGGAAACAGCAAAGATGCACAGAACAGGTTCTGTTTGTGTGAACTCAGATGTCAGAGCCTCCAGACTTTCTGTGGGCTTCCCCTGCCCGGCCCTCTAGTGTCTGTATCTGGAAAAACACATTTCATTGAATATTTGATCAAACTAAAAGGACACACAATAAATATGTTTGTGCGTAAACATGACTGAAACGAGTTCTAGTGCCAGTGTAACAACTTTACTGTTTTGATCCTGACATGAGTTGTGTAGCTAAATTTACACTCACACACACAAACACACACTGAAGCTATTTCCAGATTCCCCTGTTGAGTCAGGGAACCCTGGCTAAATCTGTGGACGCTGAGGTGGATTGGGTTACATGAGAGGCACATGCCACCATTCCTAAAGGCTCAGGTCTACCTCTGCACCCTTCTGTCTGTCAGAGTGGAGACACCGACCACGGTTCCAACGTCTCAGGAGCCGACGATCCAACTCGACCAGGTACTGAAACGCCCTGTGTGAGGTTCTGCATGAATTCTGTGTCTGACTGCTGACAAACGTTTTCATCAGCAGCTGATTCTTCTTGAGTAAAGTTGACCTCTACATTGTATTTTATCTGATTCAATACTAACGTCAGTTCTCGCACTGATTCAACGCTGTAAAAACACAAGTTTCAATCTTGTTTGAAATTGAAATCTGTAGTTTTGAGTTTTTGGAAAGTTACAAGAACAACCCACACAGAGCTCAGTTGACTCTTTAGACACTATAGGAAATTATTCATTGATCAGGGTGCTCGATTCACGTGCATGAGTTTCAAGAGTGACACGAGGGGTGAGCACGGTTGTACAATATCTTAATGTATTGTTTCGAGTTCATCTTGTGTTAATGTGCTGTTGACAGTTGTAGCAGCTTGTGGGCGCTGTTGTGCAGCAGGTAGTTGAGATGCAGAGCAAGAGAAGAAGTGGAGAAGAGAGTGGAGGTTCATGGGTCTTGACCTCTTTATATACAGTCTATGGTCTTGACTCATGTTGGAAACTCACTGAAAGTTATGAGTAAAACCCCAAAGTGATGGACCGATCTGTGTTTTAATCCCATCACTGACAGTTTGTCAGTTTAAGGAACTAAGTCTGACTCCAATCAGACTTTAAAAGAACCATAACCTTCTCCTGCTTGTTTGTCACTGTAGTTAAACACTGTGTGTGTGTGTGTGTGTGTGTGTGTGTGTGTGTTTCAGATGGTGACAGTGGATGTGTTAATAATTGGGGGCGGCCCTCATGCCTTGACCTTAGCGAGTTTGCTACTGAGTCCTGACTCAGACCCTGATCCTGGACATGACTCACCGCCCCCCCCCTCCTGCTCAGACCCTCCGAGGCCTCAGCCACACCCACCAACTTCCAGAAACAGATCCTGCGGTGGCAAGAAGAAGAGGAAGGCAACAGCTGGTACAGACTCACTGAATCCTAATTGTTAGGCACAATTTTATACTGTTGACTTTAAACACTAAGTCACAAATTGGACAAATAATAGTTGCATTTAAAGCTGAAATATTTAGTTGATTCATTGATTCATTGACAGAATGACGTGGCATCTATTTGGATAATTAATTGATCATTGTAAGTAAGTAAGTCATTTTTGGGGCAAAAAAAGAAAGAACCTGAGCTGTAGGAAACTGATTAACATTNTTAATATTAATGTTGCTTATTGTACACACATTGTTTATTTGCAGTGAACCTAATCCTTTCTCCTTCGTAGCAATAATTGTCAGACTTGCTTTCCCATCAGCAGAGAGGAGAGGAACACAGTACAGGTCTAATTCTGTTGCCCCTTCAAATCTCTATTTTTGTAATAATCACTAAAGCACTTATGAATAAGGACTCCGGGCAGAAACATGCAAAAAGCAGCACTTTAAATCACGCTGTAACTCCTCTCACTGCTAAAGAAACGCCACCTACTGTATGTCTCTGCTGCTTGAAAACAAACATCAGACAGAATATTCAGGACTGTCAGCTCAAATGTGCATTGCAACAGCCATCCTGGCTTATTTAAAGGAGAAGAGAACTGTAAAGATATATATGTTAAAATTATAAATATATATATATAATGTATAACTATCTCTATACACTAACACACACACACACACACGCACACACTACACGCAGACACATGTGTGTTTATGTGTGTCATATTCTACATTAATGCTGTCTATTTTCGTATGACTGTGCACTGTGTGAGTGATCACAATATCTTTTAGCTGTTATTTCTTTATGTTATTTTACTGAAATGAGATTTCATGTTACGGTTCAAAGTTCCAATGACATTTTTATACTGTGTTTTGTGAGTAGTGACATTCATGTTTGTTATGTTCTTATTTTGTCCGTACACTTCACATTTTTCCTCAAATGACTTTATTCTGAGACCTGCATCACAGATGTTTCTTAACTGGTGGTTTTTATCTTTGTTCCCTTACTCTGTCAAGTGAATTATAATCTTTATCTTTACCTGCAACAAAATGTCAAACACGTTTGTGTCAGTCCCTGTCAAGTCCCCATCATCAGTTATTACCTCATATCTAAATGTAGTGGACAGTGACAGTGTGGACATTACGAGTCATTGTTATAAGATAAACATTTCATATCATTTGGACTTTGTCTCAAATTATTTTTATTTAGTTTTTCTGAATGTTGTATGTGTTGCTCATCTTTTACTAACACTGCATTTTTTCAAGTCGGTCTTTTATATGTATAAAATAAGTTTTGATTTATTAGGTCTAGATATAGTACCTCAAAATTTGGATCACTATTCCAATTCTAGATTTTGTGTCTATGCAAACATATTGCTGGTGAGATAAGATGCAGAAATGAAGTTTGAGATGTCCTGATCCTGATCCAGTTGGAATATGAATCTGAGATGTGGGGGGGTCACATGCCTGGAACCAGGTGACCTCAGTGTACAAAGAAAATAGAGCAAAAATAAATCGATAAATGCTCCGTCATCGAGTTACTCCTCAGGAAATCAGACCGATGTTTGTTTCTTGTGTGGTGGAATAAATCAGTGCACTTGTACCTTGTGATTAGTCTCTGCAGGAATGACAGTGGAGGAATCAGTGATATCAGAGAGGGTGGTTCGCCCCCCGCTGAGTCTCCGAGTGGTAGACTCGTATGGGGAGTGGACGGCTCTGTGGGAGAGGCAGTTCACAGCTCTCAGCATCCCTCATCTGCGCTCACACACACTGGTGCACACAGACCCTCTCAACAAGGTAGAAAACAAACATAATCAACTCCCTCCTAAAGTAGAAACAATATTTAATGTTATATATGCATGTATGTTGTATATTTTCTTTGACAGAAAGCACTACAGGAGTTTGTTCTAAAGTGTGATCGTTCATCAGAGCTGCACAGTCTCCCAGACCAGGTTTATATTCTGGATGAAAATGCTTTTTTCAATGACACGCGACTTGGCAAGAAGGAGAAGAGACGACTGAACATCAACTCCACACTGAAGAAGAGTTTATCCTTCAGTCTGCCGGGAACCAAACTGAGTGTGGACTTCTTTAGAGATCAGGTATACAGTGTGTGTTTGTGTGTGTGTGCGTATTTTGAATGTTAGATTTTATGCAACATTTTCATTAACACCTTACTCTACAAGACAATGAATAATTTATGTAACCTCAGTTGGTGGTGGAAAGGAGACTTTTGAATATTTATGTCTTAATGTGACTCTCTGACTGCCTGACACAAGTCTTTTATTGAAAGCTCTTCCATGGGTGTATTTGAGAGATGGACTAACAATCTGTTGCTTTGCTCTTTAAGTGATTTACTGACTGTAATATTTTTTGAGCATGAGAACCAATAATCTGGTTCTGTCTAATCTAAACACAGGTGGAGAGATACAACTTGGCCAAAGTGCTGGTGAAGGGAACGGTGGAGTGCATCATCCCTGTCGTTGAGCACAAGGAAGAAGAGGACTTTATGAAGGAGAGGGGAGCAGAGGGCGAGGCCGCGAGAGACGGGCCAAGGAAGAGAGTGAAGTATTTTCAAGTCCATCTTCAGGAGGGCATCATCCTAAAAGCTCACCAGGTCGTTATGGCAACAGGACCAACACGTGCCCAGATGGTGAACATCCCCTCATGGGTGAGAAACATTGGAGAGAGTTACCCAGAGGAGCGTTTGCTGCACACAGTGCATCTCATGCACCATCTGCCAAAATCCAAGCACGAACAAGAACAGACAGAGACGTCTCCCTCTCAAGGTAATTCAAATCTCTTCAGAGGACACTGTGACATCACAACCATTCAGAAAATCTAACCATTTTTAGTATATGTCTCGGAGCTGTAAGGATAATTGCTATCGCTAACTAAAATCATTTCATACTGTAAGTTGTTGTCTTTACACATTTGCCAGAATCCTCATATAACTGAGTTGTATTTGCTTTCACCTAATGTTTCAGAAGACCTCAGTGGTTGTTCGATTCCCAGTCCTTGCTGCAACACTTAACAAGAACTATGTGTGTCTAGAGCTGTGTGTAGTGTGTCAGAGAGGGCAGAGAGTAATGGTAGTTGGTGGAGGTCTGACCAGCGCCCATGTCGTCTCTATTGCCCTGCAGCAAGGTGCCAGCCATGTGACATGGGTCATGAGGAAGCACCTCCAGGTCTAGTGCCAGTGTGACACTGCATGAAGACCAACCTTACAGAATTACTGCAGCTACACCTGTCTACCTCTGCCACACATGTCAGTCGTCACTGTTTCTCTTACAGTTAAAGCAGTTTGATGTGGGCGACGTGGAGAGCCTGGTGGGTCGTTACTCTCATGTGGAGCACGGCATCAAAATGGATGGCCAAGCCTACCTACGGCAATTCTATAACGAACGGAGCTTTCACAAACGGCTGGCTATGATTCGCCAGGCACGGAAGGGAGGGGCCGTCACCCCAGAGGCCTACGTCCACCTACAGCCATTCATACTGAGTGGACAGGTGGACGTCAAGACTTACTGTCAGGTAACAGTCCTAATGCAATCCATCGGGTAGAGGGTGAGGGTGCACTGACTGAGATGAGATTGTGGAAGTGAGATGAGGTGAGTCTAGATGAGATGAGGTCACGTGGATAAATAGCTGCGGAGATAAATAAAACAAGTGAGGTGAGGTTATGAAATGAGATGCGATCAGGTGACATGAGAGATGAGATAACATCTAATGATTCATGTGATCATCCACCTGTCCAGGTGAGTGAAGCCAGCTGGTGCTACAGGAGCCAGGCCTGGAGTCTGAGCCTCAGCACAGGGGACCACTGGACTGGAGATATGATCTGGCTCGCCACCGGCTGCAAACTTGATGTGAAACAGGATCTGTTGCTTTCTGAAGTGATGAAGGAATTCCCAATTCAGGTGGGTTAAATAGTTTTTAGATATGTGTAGTATTTATGCATCTATGGACAGATGAACAGAAGAATTATTTCTTGGGAAATCAGTGTAAATGTTGAAAAGAATGATGAAAACGTTACTGGATCCACACATGCATTTAATGAGTTCTTCCTTCCAGCAAGTTTCTGTCCAGTAGATTTTGTGTAATCTTACTACAAAACAAACCAACCAACAAGCATACAGAGGGGGTGAAACATGAAGTATGACGAGAGCATAAAATCAAGCCTTGTGATCTACTGTCATGATTTAAGATGGATTCATAAAATGTGTCCGGCTTGTCCTCTGTGAAGGTGATGGACGGTTGGCCGTGCATATCAGAGAGCTTACGGTGGGCAGAAGGGTGCCCGCTCTATCTGATGGGACAGTACACAGCTCTTCAGGTGGGTCTTCTATACAGTGTTTTGATGTACAACAATCTGCTCGCTTATTTTACTTATCACTTGCCTTTATTGCCCCCCCCCCCACACAGGTCGGACCTCACGCACTAAACCTGGCTGGTGGACAGGCTGCCAGCATCAGAATCGCCAAGGACATCATGCGCCATCGACACCCGGACAGTGGAGATGCATCTGAACTGAGCGGGGAGAAATCTAAAACTGAAGAATATATTCAACAAATGCACGGCCTGTTATGGCTCTGACTTTATTCTTTAGCCTCGAGGACCTGAAGTTTCTTTTGTTATACTCGTCGAAAGTGACTCTACCTTGATTAAATGCTGTGAAACTCATTTTTCTATTTTTCATCCTCAAGGACCCAATCAGTATTTTTTGGAGTGGATGGAAAATGTCTTTTGCCTGATGTGTTTAAAGCATAGTTAATGTAAGATAAAAATGTATGGAGTATGTTTATCTGAATCATAGGGTCCGAGGATGAATGAATTTCAATGTTATGCATATCCCCCTTTTAACTTGACTTGCATCTTGGACTGAAAACTTGAAGAAGTACTTAAAGTCTGTATTGGATCATGAATTATCTTCTAAAAATAAATCAAAAAGTAGGGTTAGGGTTAGATTCCACACCGGAACTAGAATTGCACTCAGGAGAGCATTTACATTCACCATGTCCGAATATACCTACACACGATTATGAAACATGTAGAGTAGAAATATGAAAGAAAGAAACTGGGCTGATAACAGGTCATAAATCCCACCAAAATAAAAGTCAAAGCACAATTCAAATAAATCTTTATTTTTGGTCGTTTTTATCACATTGATGTTCGAATGTACATTTTTCTGTAAGTTTGGTTTGAAGTATTCATTTGACCGTATAAAAAAATGGGTGAAATATCATGAGTGACCTCGTTCCAGAATGTTCAGTGAAAATCTGTTCGGCTGTTGAGTGTTATCTTGTTTGCAAACAAACAAACAAACACTGGTGATGTAACCTCCCTGGTGGAGGTAAACATCTTCCTAAGCTCCGCCCCTGCTGGACTTCCGCATTGTCATCCTTCCTCGTCATCCTTCCACCGGTGCTGCAGGTTCAGGACGGTGAGTGTTTGAATGTTTTCTTTCAGTTAAACACATTCGTGGTGTTTTTTTAATGTAATTTAACGTTGATAGTGAAACTGAAAACTCTGGTGAAAGTGCTGCTGGTGTCAGGGGCGAAGTTACTAGAATAAAAAAAAAATACGGATGTGTAAATAAACAGGCAGCGTGAGGCTGATTCACTGAGATCTGGACTTTCTGCAGCTGCTCCGAGGTAAAACTCAAGATGTAAAAATAAACCCTGAGCAGGTGGAGAACAGGCAGGACACAGGTGGTGCACTGAGGACAGGGAGGTGACTGAGGGACAGAGACTCATCCTTCATGTGGACGATCTTTCTGCAGAGATCAGCTGATCAACAGTTGACGATCAGCTGATCTGTGACGTGTAGTTTCTGTGTCAGTGGTTTCGTCTCCTCTTCCTGTTCGCCTACAACAGTATCATGGAAACTGGGAAACCCTGAAATGATCTCACTGGTGGTTTTGTCACATCATGTTACTCTGTTTCTACTCATCACATTATACATATGGACGGTTACAATATACATTATTATCCACCGCCACTGCACTTTCTCTACCCATAATATTCATATTATAATAATTATTATTTTTATTTTATTTCAATACCCAATTTCTGTTTTGTACTTGTCTAGCTTGTTGTTGACTATCTGCTGCTCTAACAACTGTATTTCCCAGGATGTGTTATCAGTAAAGTTGATCTTGTCTTATCTTGTTGTATCTTTAGAATATAGGCTGCTCTGACAAAAGGTCCTGGAGCTGCAGTGAAGTTAAGATTTTGTTTGAGGCCAATATTGTACCTTAATTTGAGATGCACAAATGAAATCATGAGGATAAAATAAAACCCAAACCATTCTATTATGTCCATGGATTATTCTAATTGTCATTTCATTACTGTGTATGTGATGTAGTGAGTGGTGAAGCCAGCTCTCGGTGCCATGAATGTGAGGAAAGTGGAAAAGACAGTTCTGAGTGTGGAGCAGGCAGAGGGAGTCGGTGCTCGTGTCCGCAGGAGCATCGGCAGAATGGAGGTAAGTTAACACAGCTTTCATCCAGTGAGCTAAAAAAGAACTCAACACAGTTCAGATCATCCATGAAACACTGTGCATGTGTTACTTCCAGCTGAGGAACCTGGATCCCTTCCTGATGCTGGACGAGTTCAGAGTGAGCAAGCCGGCAGGTTTTCCAGATCATCCTCACCGAGGATTTGAAACAGTGAGTGTCGTTCTGCTGTAATTTGAAGGTTTCCATTCAAATGTAAGAGACTTGAATCTTCCTACTTTTATCACCAGATGGCGACAAAGGGACATTGTAACTTACTGATCCACAGATCTTTCTATAAATGATCATTTAGGTTTATACATTTCAAAAACTATACAGAAAGCCAGTGATGTCAGCAATATTATAATCACTGGATAAACTGCTTCTGTAAACTGTGTATAAGTTAAAAGTCAGCTGAGAAAGATTCTGTTATAAAAACTCACAAAAGAATGTGTTTTTCAAAGAGAGGAATGGTCCCTGCCTCTGAAGTCTTTTGGCCTTTTTGGCTTTTTTTTCTGCTCATTTTTTATTTAGTTTTCTGTTTATTTTGAATTAATTTACCATGTCTCCACCATGAGGCGTTGGCATCCGATACAACCACTCATTTTTGAGGTTGGATCCTTTCTCTTCGCTGGTTAAGAATAATTCAAGTGTTTTTTTTAACATATTTTACTAATATAAGTACACATACAAAACCTCCTCATTTAGTCCAGTTCAGCTTCCTTTCTGTCCTCATACATATTATAGGTTGTTTATTAAGTCTTGTTGCTTTATTAATGGAAAAGTACATTTGTGCAAACCTTTCAAAGTGAACTTGTTGCACTCGTCTTTTATAACAGAAAAGATGTCTTAGCTTTTATAATATACTTTTTTTTACATCTTTATAAATGGGCAGACCTTGTTTCTGCTTCATGTCTGAATAAAGTGGAACATTTTTGATGAGAAAGATTTTAAATTCTGAAAAAAATAAAACAGAAAATAATAATTATTATTTTCTGGCTCCTACTTAGTGAGCCACTTAGTGGTGAAGTTGTTGAAAATGGCTTCATGAATATATTTCTCTCTCATAGAAACAACTTGACTTGGTCAAGTATTTTCTCTTATTATTGTAGTTGACTGTTATTTGGTCTGGACACCAGACCAATCAGCAGGCTCCTGAATATCCACTCTCTCAGACAGCTTTTCATCCATCCAGAGACAGGTCCAGCCAATCACAAGGCTTTATGTGAAATACTGTGGGTTTGACATGCTGACAGACAGAGGAGCTCCCCTGAAGCATCTTTGATAACATGATGTGGAGACGTCTAATCCATGCTGGGAAATACATTTTCTCTGAATGAAGAACAAACCACTGCACTTACAGTGTTTGTTAATGTGTAACATCACACATCCCGTTGCTTTGATTGGTTGTTGGTGTGTCTGATGGGCGGACAGTTGCTATTGCTCCTTGGAAATCAGAAATGAGCTGAGAGGCTCTGATGCTGCTCGACTAAAAGTCACTACATGCGTCTGTGCTGCAGTATCCGCAGTAATTCTACCACCTCTCTGACTGAATGGAGCTAATGTCACAGGTCTGACTTGTATCTTTGAAGTTGAACCTTGAACATTGTCCTCAGATTGCCGGACTTTCCTACAAGTGTATTTGATTTGGCAGATGGAACTTAAATCTCCCAGTGTGGGCGGACAAGACTAGGCTACACTCCCAGCATGCCTTTCAGCAGGTGTGTTTGCTCACACTCACATGGTGTTTGAAATCCCACAGCTGTGGAGACAGATCAGAGGCAGTTCACTGCAGGGGCCTGAGCTCTCTCCCCTCACACAGATGTTCACCTCTGAACCTGTGACCCGAGATGCAGCTCGTCTCTTCCTGTCCAGTCTGACCACTGGAGCAATGAGACAATCACACACGTGCTTTTAGTTCTGAAGCTTCTTGCACGAGATAATAAAACAAGGGAATTTTACCTAAAGCTAAGTAATTTGAAGCTGAAGTTATTTACTTTATAATTGAGCTGTTAAAAAATATTTAAAAAAAGATAAAAACTAGAATTACTACGCCTCTGACCTTTAGCCTATGACCAAGTAGTTAACTGGTCAAAAATATGTAAAAATGACTTAAAAGCAGACTGTTCAAGAGACCTTTGACTTCCCAAATCTGTTAGTCAACAAATTAAATATTATTTTCTTGAAGCATTTGTAAGACAATGCATTCACGAGGCATAGAAAGGTTTTTGCGAGATCATCAGTGCATCCCTGAGTCCAAATTAATGTACACACCAAATTTGAAGGAGTTCCCTCGAGGCATTCTTGGCATCCAAAATACATTTGACGTAAAATCTAAATATTTTACTTTTTTTTATATAAATAATAATTTAGGTAATCTGAGGCCTTTTTGTCTGAAGTCACTGTAGCTGTTAATGCTGCATGTGTGTGTTTGTGTCTGTCCTCAAACAGGTAACATATGTTTTAGAGGGGATCACGGCCCATGAAGACTTCTGTGGCCATTCTGGAAAGCTGAAACCTGGAGATCTGCAAGTACAGCATGACTAATCATAGAGTTCATTTTTTAATTTATTTTTAGGATTTGTTTGAAAGAAATATTTTTATATTATTAAATGTTTTATTTCTAAAATGTTGGCAGTTTTTGCTTTTTTAAATGAAAAGGGTCCCACTCTGTTCTTATAGCATTAGATTAATATTTAAAACCATTATTACTGAAAATATGAACACTTGAACAAACATCAGTATGATAAGAACAACCTAAAATGAAAGACAATATACCATTAGACTACCTCACAGATGCCTCATGTATTTTGCAGCAAGAGGGCTAATCAGCATAGTTCCCATAATGCCGAACAATTCCTGTAACTTAACCTCTAACTGATTTGTGTTTCCTGTTTTTGAGATGTTAAGATACACGTTATCTAACTGAGGTATTCTTCATTATCTGTGATCTTAATCTCCTGATTGTAAACGTTGAGAGCAAGTTATTAACAGGAGGCTTCACAAGCTACAGAGCAGAAGAAGAGTTAAGCCTTTACCAATCCCCACAAACTCATTACATATACATCATAATGTTGTGCACTCACACTAATTGGATATCATGCCCTGTGGGTTGTTTCCTGTGTTTTTAAAGTTGTAAAGTTACACACAAATACACACAAACACGCACACACACAGGCTGCTGACTCAGCTTCAATCTGTAGAAGAGGTTCAGTCAGTTCAGCTGAATTAGCTCTTACACACCATGTGCACGTTTCGTCTGCCCGGCGTCACGTGGGAGCTGCAGATGCTCAGACTGACGCCTGTCTGTCCTTCAGGGAAAGCTCAAACTCCATCTCACAATAAAACACGGTCAAAGGAAGTGGTGAAGACATCGTGCCAACTGAGAAAAATCTCTCACCTAATGTTTGGATGAGTTTCACATCTGTATATGTAAACTTAAGGGGAAGTTTATATTTTAAAATCACATTATTCTGTCCCAGAAACACAGTTGAAAGAAACTGCTTTAGCATGGGCAGTATCTGTGTTGTCTGTGTGGTTCTCCTCGGTTGTATTCTGCTTGTGTTATTATCCAGCAGATCCCCCTCCCAGTAAATACCCAGCACGCAGCAATAAACATAATGAACAGTCGCAGATGAATTATCATTGGCCAGCAGCGTTAAAGCTCGAGAGTGGAAATTTCCAGCCGGCCCAAAGGAGAAGCAGAAGCTGTTAAAGTGAACTTCCCTTCATCCAGTGTTTTAAATCACTGCTTGATTCAAAATCATGACCAGAGTTAAAGCAACACCTCATTTTGTTCCTCAGCATTTCATCAAAATTCCTCTCACTTAAGTTGAATTGTTTTGTTTTATTCCTGCTGCCTATAGCTTCATATATGACTCATGGCTTCTGGTTATCATCTACAATTAATACAATATTTATGTGGTGTATTTCAAATATGTCTCCCTGTCTACCAGTGGATGACTGCAGGACGGGGGGTGGTCCATGCTGAAATGCCTGTATCGGAGGAGCCGGTGGTGGGCTTACAGCTGTGGGTGAACCTGCCGAGGCGAGACAAGATGGTGGAACCAGCGTACCAGGAGCTCAAAGGCTCCGAGATTCCCAAACGCAGCCAGGGAGGCGTCACAGTCGCTGTTATATCTGGAAAGGCTTTAGGAGCAAAGGTGTGTGTCTATGTGTGTGTGTGTGTACGTCTACTTATTTGTGTATGGGGTTGATGACGTCATGGCAGCACCATTTACTGAAGCCACAGTCAGTCACTTTGAAACTAAATGTGGTGTTTACCTTCGTGGTAGCTGTTGATCTCATAATGATTGCTCATTTGCTGGATGCCCGAGGCAAACAGGAAAAACTGACAAACATGCGTGCATTCATGTGTTTGTGTCTGTGTGTCCGTGTGTGTGTGTGTGAGTAAGGGAATGCCTATAACCACGCTATTTGACCAGTGTTAGTGTAAGGAGTGTCCGTCTGAAAAGAGGAAACAGAAAATTAAAAGCAGATTGTCTCAGCCTGTGAGAGTTGTAGTGCGTGTGTGTGTGTTTTACTGTAATGTCCGGGGTTACTGTCGGGCAGGAGGCTCACTGATCATCAATTTCTCTGCATTCAGTGTATTTATACTGTGTAAGACTCATGTTTTTATACAACTTTAAAGCTTGACTTGACTCTGGTTTTATTTTCATACTTAGTAAGACAACACTCGTACAGTTTACGTGTCTGTGACGAGTCACAATATTTGATCATAAAAACTGAACATATATTGAGTAATTAAATACCTAAAATGTTAGACCTCTTACAACCAAATTAGCGAGAATACACAGGTTTTTAAACGACTGACTCGTTTCCCAATTGCCTGGAGAGGAATCCTGTTTCAATCCCTGGTGAATTGTGTTTGATGCCAGAAACTGAGAAGCTCAACTCGCTGTCTTGCCAATGTTGCTCTTTGCACAATTTGAAGAAAAATGATATCGCTGTTGCATGTTGTTCCCAAAACACAAGTACACAAATGTTCATGGCTATTTACACGCCAACGCCCTATAAAGTTCAATGGCCATTCTAACATTGCGAAGAAAACTGCTTCATCAGCATCTAGACTGCCAAAATAGAGAAGAAGAAATTGGCTCATTTTCCCAGGTGTCATGTTTCCATCACTCCCAGTCTGAGCCTGAGCCGATAAAACCCCATTTCTACTGCAGAGGCCTTTGACCTGGGAGTTGATGGTGATGTTTCCATTCCCTTTGCAGATAAAAATCAGATGTTAGTGAGTGTTAGTGGGTTTTTTGGACCTCAGGGACAAATCTATCAAAGGACAAACAAAAACAGCATTACTTTTCAAAAGAGATTTATATCAACCAAAAAGGGGGATTAAGGAATTAGCAATAAGTAAATTAAGTCAAAAACTGGACCCAGTCCAACCAAATAGAACTCAATCAACTGAGCCACAAACTGAGACATATAAACTGGCTGATCATTCCCCCCTGTACTGATGCAGCACTTGGTGTGGTCCATTTACTGGGCCACTGTTTTTAAACAGGCTCCTCCCACAGCTACATCTTTTGGCCAAACCAGGAAGAAGAGCTGACGCAGGAGAGCAGGTAACTCAAAGACTAAGAAAATTGAATGAATGCAGCTAATGTGGACAAAACTGTGTAAACCAAATGTCTCATTTAGAAAACAAACAACTGGAGCAATAAACAAGATTTTAAAACCAAACTGGACTGTTTTTCATTTCTTTGTTAACAATAAAACCATGTGGTGAATTGAATCTGTGTAATGAGCTGGGTGAGACAAAGTGATAATTTATTTATTTCCAATGTGTGGCTGTGGATACGACCATCATAAAAAGTGCTCAAATTGCTTAAAGCTTGTAGCCTGTGTGACCATGGTAAAAGTCACTGTGTATTTTCACTATTCACTTTGTGTCATTATTTCAATCAGTTGCTTGTTCAGTTCTTTCTGAATCTTTTTGAATGAGGTACTTTTAGCCAAGTTTTTTTTTTGAAAAAAGTTTTATGCCTTGCTGAATTATTATCAGATTCCTGCAGAGAGTGTCTTGCATTTCATTGTTTGATTTTTTTTTTTTTTTTTTGTCCTGATGGGCTGTGAATTGTGGGGCCTGTGCTGCCTTGTCTTTCTATACAGTCGATTCAGTTTCCCACAGGTAGACTCCAGTTCTGGTCTCTACCAATTATTGAGGGAAACATACGTCTCTTTTCTTTAGCTGCTAAATGTTTCTCTGTGTTCCCCAGTTATTTAGTAACAATGTCTGTCCCTCATTCGGTTCGGCGCAGGTGGTTTTGTGTGCACCCAAAAAAACGTACTCACATGTGTACTTTTGTAAACAAACGGCCATGACTCTCACTGGCACCACAAGATCTATTTGTATAAACATGGTCTCTTTAATATATAATATTTAGTTTGATTGCATCTGTTTGAACATTTTTATTTTTTCTCCCTTTCTTTATTTCCCTCTAGTCAAAGGTTTTCACAAGGACACCAACCCTGTATCTGGACTTCAAGCTGCAGGCAGGGGCCCTGCATGTGCAGCCAGTCCCTTCAGGTAGGAGAACATTTCTAAATTCACCAATAAATAAATAAAAGGAATGACCTCCAAAGCTTAAAAAAGGTGTAACCATTAAAAATCACCCTTTGTCAATTTGAGGTTTTAGTGCTACAACCTTTCCTTGTCTGATAATTGGCTTTTGGGGACTTCTGGAGACCTGATCATTGTTTTAAATGGATTTCCTTTAAAGAAGACACATTATGCTCATTTTCATCTTCATGATTTACATTTTTCTTATCATTTGAAAATGTTTATAAATTATCTAATGTTCAGTAAATGCCTCCCTGTCCTCACATTTTCAAATGCTGCAGCTCCTCTTTTCAACCTCTGTCTGAAACACCTGGTTTTAGCTGCTGTCTCTTTAAGGCCCCACTCCCTGTAAAGCCCAGTCTGCTCTGATTGGCCAACTCTACTCAAACATGCAGGTCATATCTCACTAGTGACTTGTTGAGTTTCTAGCTGTTTGTTTTTTGTTTAACAGGATGGACTACATTCATCTACACATTATCAGGATCCATTAACGTTGGTAAGTTAAGGAAGATCCAGAGCTGACACTTTAATGCCTTTATGGTCAAAGTCATTGTGACCCCACAAACCCTTTTTGGCTCCGGAATGAGAATCATTTAAAATGTGGCACAAATGTTCACTTAGAATCACAGATTAGCTGTTTAGATTTTGGTGGTCAAAGGTCATGGTGGCCTCAAAAAATACACTTCTGGCCTCTTGATCTTGATATCCCAAGTCTGACTTGACGTTATTTCTTGACCAGTTGTCACTTGGACTCAAACACTGAGATTGACTTGTATTCAATGGATTTGACTCCAGTTGTCACGTCACAGTGACCTCATATAACCACCCTAACATTGTCCAAAACAAGAAATCAGAAAAAACCAGGGGGATACAAACTTTCTTTAGCTGGATTTGATGAACTTATGCACTCTCACTTTCTGTCAATTTGATCACTCCCTCGCCTCCCAGGCTGCTCCTCTTTCTGCGATATTAACGTTACAGATACGTATGTGTGATCTCATTCCAATCGCAACTTCCCTCCTACATTCAGCCAGAAGGACCATGTGTTCCACTTTAAAGCCTGATGGATTCATACTGTCACTGAACCATGATGTCTTCAGACTAAAGCAGCTTGATCTGAAATTTAACCAGCATCACTGGGAAAAGTATTGCGCTATTGTTGTAAAATACGACCGGCTTAGGGTCTGGCGTCAGATCAGTCACCTTATCCACATGTAATAACTACGCCCTGTTGTATCGATGCTGCTGTTTGACATTATACTGTGAAATTCTGCATTTCCTGCTTACTGGACGACATCATGTGATCAGGGAATTCTCCTTGCATGAGAATGAACCCTTTCAGACGGCAAACTCATTATCAGAGGCTTTGTTGGTTTGTTGAAACCTGTGTTTTCAGTCAGAACTCCCCCTTTCATATTCCGTCATGAAATTTCATTATGATTTGATTATTCTCTGTCTCTCAGTACGCTGCAGGACGTCTCAGACTAGTTGTAATTGCTGACAGATGTTTTGATGACACGAGAGGATGAAATTGGCTGATGTGATCAAAGACGTTATTTGAATCTTAAGTCTTGAACTTTACATGTAGTCAGGCCAAATCAGAACCAGCTGGCTTTGATGAATGCATCAACCACAAATGGAGGTGTCTGGCTTTCTCAGCGTTTAGAGCCAATAAGTGATGAAGTGTGCGAGAAAACTGCGTTTAAAAGGCACCTGCGTTACAAACACACAAGTGCCTTTTATCTCATTTAAACTCAAAGTTGTTTTGTTACGCTATGAAGATCTGTGGTAGCCTGAAATTTATGAAATGGATGAAATTATTATTAATGAAGCACATGTCTGTTCATGGACTGCATTAACTGGTTCTGGGTGAATAATTAAATGTTAATATTCCAACAAATGAACAGGTGGCAGGGATGTCTCAGAAAAATTAATGGAAAACATGAATGCAAAAGCCACACAATCACAATGGAAGTGAATGACAATGAAACAAGAGGTGATTTTAAAACATTAGTGGTTTTACACCTGTACTGAACACCTGAAATAGACATGGCTCAATTTATTTAGCGGCTTGACTGTGTCATCAAACGGCTCACCTAACCAAGCAATCAGTTTTTGCTCACTGCTGTTTTGTTTCAGTTGAGTGGCTTTTGCAATTGTGTTTTCTGTCAATATGCTTGTGTGAGAAGTCTTGGCCACTGTACTATTGACCCTCAACCCTTAAAGTCTCACTGTTTCCTCCACTGAGAAGCTCCTCATGGATTCCACTTTTCAAAAGTGCATAAAAAGAGCTCAAAGACCACAATCCCAATCAATCATTTTTAATAGTGTTTGTATCTTGATTTTTTCTTTCCTCACATTATCATTGACAGACTGTTGCAAATGAAGAGTTCTAGCGTTGTTTAAGTACAAAACGTTACTGTTCTCAAGGCCCAGACCAGGAGCGGCAGGAGGTGGCGTCCCATCACACGGTGGTGTTCGGAGACGGAGACTTAGTCAAGGTTGAAAACAAGGTGAGTTTTCCGTGTTGAGACGACCAGTGGCTCCCAAACGTTTTCCCATAGTGCCCCCTTTGGCTTCATTTCTGGATAATGGGAGGAACTTGAGACATGTCTTTCGTCTTTATGTACAGTCAATGCGCTGATAACAGATCAGAAACGTGAAACATTTGTCCTGGCAGAGGATGCCACATCTCCTTCTGTGGTAGCGATTGTAGAATTCCGCAATCTTTTTCATATCAACTTTGGTTTCCTGCCACTACTCAGAACTGCACATTAGGATGGACACAGAAACCCTTCTTTATTGTTCACATTCACAAATCTGATTCTGATCTACTTTTTTCAACTCAGCAGACTCAACAACAGAAATATTGTCTTTCTTTAATCGTATGTTTCCACACAGACATATGTTGGGACTCTGCTAGTTCTGTTCACTAAGAAGATAACACTGCCTCTTCTTCTCTCCTCAGTGCTCTGAACTTTCTCATTTTGTGCTGATCGCCGGAGAACCAATCAAAGAGCCTGTGGTACAACGCGGTACGACATTTTATTCCCTCCGTCCCTCCGAACAAATCAAATTCTTGATTTCACATGCAAAATGTAATCAATAGCAGTAATGTCATTATTTGCAATGTTGTGTTTGTCTTTCAGGTCCATTTGTCATGACGACAGAGGAGGAGATCAGTCAGGCGATCAGAGACTACCAGAGCGGCAGAAATGGTTTTGAAAGAGCCGTAAATTGGAGATCCAGGATCAGAGACTCTTTCTAAAGCAGTGGTGGAGAACCTTGAGCCTCTGGGCCATTCCAGTCTGAGACAATACAACTCAGAAATATATTTGATTTGAACAAATAATATAAAAATAAGTGTTTCAGAAACAAATGACCAACTATACCTTTAAAGGTTCTGTGTGTAGAATTTAGTGACATCTAGTGGGTAAGTTGCATTTTGCAGCTGAATTCATCTCACCCTCCCCTTCCAAACATGTAAGAGAACCTGTGGTAGACTTCAATTTTCATACAAACTCAAAATGTGTTTAGTTTTTTATCCAGTGTGGGCTACTGTAAAAAACATAGCGACCTCCGCAGAGAGGACCTGCTCCTGATGTAAATATAAAGTATTTAAATGGAAATGGACCATTCTCGGGTAAAGAAAACGTACAATTTAGATGAAACACACTCGTGAAAACATCACTTGGATTTTTTTATGTTACATTTTCGCTAATAGATCCCTTTCACCTAAATCTTACACACTGGACCTTTAAACCTCTGCCCACAGAATTGGGGGCCGCCCCTACAGCTATCAAACATGTTTAAAATCGGGATGATTACATCAGTACTTTTCAAGAAGAACCAATCAGAGGCGAGTGCGGTGTTGAGTTGGAGCAAAGGCTTGTCAATATGTGTCAAGAGCAAGATTCCCTGAACAGCGTGTTACACAACACTAATCCCAACCAGCTAGTTATTAGCATTACAAGCTAACATACTACTGTTGACATTAAACTGACCAAAAATATAAATGGAGCGCATTGTCCGCGACTGCACTACGTTTTTCTCATCCAGACACGTTTCTTCTGCCTTTGGTCTATATAATGCACACTTCACATCTTGTAGTGTGTGCATGTTTGAGATTAGAGAGAAAATCTGCGAAGCTTCTCCTCGAGTGCTCGATGCAACTTGATTTCAAAATCAGTCTCAGGATGTGTTCTGAGCTCAGCTTTAAGTTCTCACTCTACAGAGAGATTGGTGCCCAACAAGGTAAACAAGCAGGTTTACTGTTGAGTGAGATAACGGCCAAGAACCCTTGTTAAGAAGGAGAAATTGTGAAGCCTTGTCTGGTTGTGACTGCGCGGCTGCTTGCACCAGACAAAGTAAAATGTTCCAACTCTGCAAGAACAAAAGCCAGAAGATCTGAATGTGCTGTTGAGTGCAAAAAACTCCTCCAGGCATTTGGCGAGAGGATTCAGGAACTGAGCGTATTTTCTGAATTGTTTAATGTGGAACCTGCTGATGTGCCTACAACATGAAATCATCGAGGGGCAAAGTACAATAACGTCCCTCTGCTTGAATTCTATAAACTGTACGTACATCATAAAAATACAGTAAATTACATTTATTAAAATATGAACCATAGAATAAAAGCAGTGTGTAAATTGACATAGCAGGAAACTAACATTTTTTTCTAGGATTATTAAATTGTTCAAGGGTCTTGCATGATGGATTACATTGAATTCAATGTAGAAAATACAAAAATTACACTACTGTTGAATGTATTTATGTCTGTGTTTTAAAATAATCTCTGTTTAATAACTAATTTTATACAGTAAATTGACACTAAGTGGCAACTTTTGCTGCCAGACTTCACCATTTTTTCACAGTAGATTGTACAGTGTACTGTCTGTGTTTGGTAATTTAGTGTGGCCCTCGAAGTACCACTGAAATTGTACTTGACAGGAAAAGATTCCCCACTTCTCTTCTAAAACCTCCTGTTGCCTCTGATAAAACTGTCTTTCTTGTAATGTATTAATGGAGATGTTCGATGTTGGAACACTGAACGATGGAAACCTATTTCTTTTAGAATATGTGTTTTCAGGACATTTAGAATTTTGCAGCGTCTATTTTAACTTGTTACAGCTGAGTGCTTCATGTGGGAGTGAATGACATGTCCTATTGTTGGCACAGTAGTTGTTTACCCCCTCTACCTTGTAAAATATAGATTTTAGGGAAAATGTGCCCCTACCTGCTCTCTCTCCACTTCCCTTGTTAAATTTAATTTTTATTACAGTTTCCTTCTCCTGTTTGAAATAACACTGTTGCATCGCTGTTATGAAATTTGGAATAGTTGCTTGTACACAATGTAATGAAGATAATTAAAATACACATACTGTACTTGAGGTATAGTGGTTTGTTCAAATATACATAGAATTTGCTGAAGACAAACATTGACATTTGTTTATTTATCCAGCAGTAGTCAAACAAAAGGAATCCATTTTTTTTACATTTCCGTATTGGTTTATTAACCTGACCTCCAGGGCCAAACATCAACATGAACCAAATAAAAATACAACAATATTCCATTAGTTTAAATACGCTTTGGTTTTGCCAGCGACAGAAAAGATGCTGTTCATCATTCCCATGCAAATGACTGTGTGAACGCTGTTCTCACATTAAATCCATTATATGTGTAACATGCTGAGTCAAATGGGCCTGGATTGGCGAGGGGGTGGGGTGTCAGTGGGACAGGGGTGGTGCCGAACTCTTATTTCCCCTCACACGTTACAGAGGTCTGGATCACATTTAAAACACATGTTAGTGCTCTTTGGCTGTATGCGGTTTGGCAGCTTTGGAGGAGAAGACACTGATGGGGATTTAACAGGCAGGGGAACTGATCACTTGACAGACAGACATTAAAAAAAGCAAGACGGGAACACTCCAGCAAATAAAAAGGAGCATTTGGAGGCGGCAGGAGCAGCAGCGGAGGGAGAGACATAAGGGCAGACACAGAGACACATATCTTTAGGTTTTTCAGAAAGGTCGTGGAGGAAGGGGTTGTGTTGCACCTCAGGGTCTTTAGTCGAACAAACCACAGATCTGGACAAGGGAGGTGGGATGGAGGGAAAGTTTATCATACAAATATTCTGACTAGAAGTTAAGGGGAGCCGGCAGCCTTTTCAGGAGACGGCAATATAAAGAGGTCAAGTTTGAAATAGAAGAATTTATTCAAGGCCCCGTTATACGTCACAGGCCTTCAAAACAGTTTGTTGCTCAAGGAGACTTCAATTGGATCTCGTCTTATGTTTTTACTGAGGAAATTACCCACCTCTTACTTCTGGTAGTGTTGCTGTTTAACAGGAAACCTTCAGTGCTGCATCAAAGCTTCAGCAGCAAGAGGTACACATTTTAAAGCCTCTTTAGCATTCTCCATTTGGTGTCTGGGGTGCTGTGACAGGTCACGTCTGGCTCAGGCACACACTCCCACAAACGCACACTCTCACGCTCAACTGTGCAGCTGGAGGATCAGGAGTTTGTGTTGCACAAACCTGCACTGAGAAGATTGAGTGTGTGTGTGTGTGTGTGTGTGTGTGTGGTCTGAGGGACGGAGCTGGTCTGGGAAACTGAGTCAGAGAGGCAGTCGGTTCTAAGTGCTTTCTGTCAGCAGAAAAGAGGAGACAAGTTCGTACTGCTGAGTGCTTCTCAGACAGCGAGCAGAGCCAAAGGGATGATGATGGGGATGAGATGGACCCTCTGCAGACTCTCCTGCTTGGTGACTCTGTTGGTGGAGCTGAGCTGGATCAACGGGGGCCACAGCATGCACAGAGAGGGAGGGAGTTGGGTAAGTGCGGCAAAAAGCTTTATGCCTTAATACATGACCAAGAATCGATGTAAGCTTCTCGCAATTCACTGTTTTTTTGTAGCTGATGACAGATTTTGTTTCCCTTGGTAGAAAAATTACCTGTAATTATGTCGCATTGTTAGGGAGCTCTCTCTTGATTTCACTTCTTTTTCCTCCTTTTTCCACCCATTGTTACATAATCCTCACACTTGACCAGATGCTGTGTTGCAGTTCACTCACCTTTGCTCCCTGTGTCCTGTCCACTGATAGTAAAACTGCAGTAATATAAATCATGTGTCCTTGCGTGTGGCTAAAAGACAAATCGCATGTCAACGCCATAGCCCATCAGCGAACTCTCCCCCCGTCTTTACCTCTCTTTCGGCTCCTGTCATCCCTTTTCCCAGGCGCTCCCTCGCTCTCTGTTTCTCATTAAGTGGGTCTATCCCCTGGTAGAAATTGCGGCGGGGAAACCTCCCAACTTTCTGTTCTGTTGTTTCTCTGAATTTAAGTGGAAGCAGTTGTCCAGCCAACCTGCCCCACCCTCTCTTCTGCAACACACTGAACACATCAGAGGGCCCGGATCATTTACCAGAGTGAAGAAAGCATTGCGCAGACAAGTGCATGACTGTCCTCTGTGACGTGCCTCCGCCCCAGTAGCAGAACTACCATCCATATATCTGGCTCTGGCTTTCCTGCCTCGAAAATGAGCCTGGGAATTCCGAAATCATTGCTCTCCCATCCGCGGCTCACACCCTGTTTAAAGTCTATTAAAATTTCAACAACCTAAAAACAAAAACAAAACTGTAAAAATCCCTCACACGGGACATCATTACGTTATTTGTGCTTGCAGTAGGTGATTTTTTTTTTTTATTGTACTGTTGCTCCCAATGGCCAATCTTACTGATGCCAAAATATCAGCAGTGGTCATCAGCAAGTGGAGGTGCTGAATCTAGATCCCGCCGAAACCTCCCACCTGTCAATCATGATGTCTTGCCCCCTTTTTGATAAAAAACTAATCAAGAGTGATATCAGAAAAAATGAACATATATCAGTGTAATGAGAACTACCCAAAATGTGTGTTGATTTTTTTTAACATTGAGAAAGCAGGGGGGGTGCTGGCTGCAGTGCTTAAGGTCACTAGTGCTGCCTTCTCTCAAAGTGCATGCTGGGGATTTAGTTGGTGAGGGTCCATGTATTTTTCGATGCTTTTTGGTCAAGTCAGTCTTCATGTCCTCTTCAATATATACATGTTTATTCTTTGGCGACAGAGACTTAAAGGTTCAGTATGTACAATTTAGTGACATCTAGTGGTGACGTTGCATGTTGCAGCTGAATGCCCCTCACCTCACCCTCCCCTTCCAAACATGACAGAGAACCTGTGGCAGCCTTCAGTTGTCATAGAAACTCAAAACAGTCTGTAAAAAAATGAACGATTCTAGGATAAGAAAACAACAATTTAGATGAAACACCTTAGTAAAGAAAACACTAGGAGTATTTTCTTTTCAATGTCTGCCAATAGATCCCTTTCACCTAAATCTTACACACTGGACCTTTAAGAATGAGCAGTGCTCAGAGCTTAAGAGGCACAAGGTCAGTCCGGAACAGACGTGTAAGTTACTGCTTCAGCTGTTAATCATCACACTTTTGAACTGACGTGTGTGAGTCACAGCCAGTTGTCAAAGCGCAATCAGCGCCACATGAACTCAGCAGGAAATGATGCACAGAATTTTTTACAAGGAAAATTCCAGTTAAATGGTCAGAGTTCAGTTTACGTCCGAAAGCAGCTGAAGAGTGAAGATTCTGAGAGATATAGAGCTGAATGTATGAATCAGAACACGGAAGAAGAATATTTAACTTTCAGATACAAGACTCACACATTTTTGCCTCAACAAACTAATAAATATATGTCTTATTTTATGGAGACAAAATATCAACCCCCCCAAAAACAAGCACAGTGACGTTAAATAAAAATGAGACCAATGATTGTTACGTTTTCTGTGAATAGCCTATGTCAACGTGAGATGTCAAAGGTGGACTGTGATCCCTGCAGGGAATGAAGCAGTGGGAACAAAAGGTGCGATCAGCCTCCAGCCTGGATGAGCTGCTGAGGCTCGCAGACTTTCCTGACTGGAAGTTATGGAAATGTCGTCTGAGGCTGCAGCAGCCAGAGACCCCCTCCTCTCTGCCTTTAGGAGGGTCACACCGCTCCACACGCTACGCAGCCGAATCTTACAGCCTGGAGATCCTTAAAGGTTGGATATAATGTGTGGATCATGTCTATGCGAATTCGTGCTGATGAGGTTATTGACATTTAAACGTCTTGCTTTTAGCCATAGATGAAGAGTGGCAGCGGACTCAGTGCATGCCAAGGGAAACGTGCATTGACGTGGCCAAGGAGCTGAGCACGGACCCATCAATGTTCTTCAAGCCGCCTTGTGTGTCCGTCCACAGGTTTGTTTGACCTGAAATCACACCCCCACAACTTAAAGGAGACATTTTACGCTTTTGCATTTTTACCCTCTTCTCTCATGTGCGTTCTCACATCACAGCCCTTCTGGAGAATGTCCATATTCTGTCAGGCAGCTGTGACTCCCTGGACTTTTATTGTAATCTTAAAGCTGAAGTGACAACAATTTTTTGAAACAGACAACATAAAATGTTAATTGCTGAGCTTTAGAGTTGCTGGTTGGAGGGATTCGTTACCTTTGGGCAGATCCAGGCTAAAAAGGCTCACTGTGTTTATCCTTCCGGCAGTAGTCGTAGCGACCATTGTAAATAATAAAAAATCTAGTAAAGGAGTCAGCTATGTTTCCTGTATATGTGGAACACATGTTCTATATTGCAGCTCTTTTCCACGCACGTCACTTTACCCAGATGTGACTTTTTTTCCCACTGACAGGTGCAGTGGTTGTTGCAATCAAGAGGGCATCACCTGCAGAAACACATCGACCGTGTACGTGAATAAAACTGTGAGTGAGCAAAAATAAAGAGCAAATACACTTCTACTGAGGATTTAAGGTTCAACACTCTTACACTGTGTGTGTGTATTTCTGTGCGTTTCAGGTGCTCAGTGTCATTCCATTCAACTTTGTACCTGAACCTGTGTTAATAAAAGTGGCTAATCACACAGAGTGTAGGTGCTTGGAGCCCGCCATAATAAGACGTAATGCTCAGCCTCACAGGAGCAGTGGGTGAGTCCAGCACCTTGTGTCAACTCTGTTTCCTCTGGTGAATCTTTTTTTCCTATTATTCTAATTCATCTGGTTCATTGGCAGCTGCTCTCCCACGAGCCAGCTCTCAGCGTCGGAGGACTCCAGGAGACTTTGTGCCAGTGGGTTGATCTGGGATTGTTCCGCTGACAGATGCATACCTTACCCTTCCAGTACACCAGGTGTGTGTGTGTGTGTGTGTGTGTG